TTCATTTTTTTGTCTGACTGACCTTTCCAATGGTGAGAGTGGAGTGTTAAAGTTTCCCACTATTAGAGTGGGGTTTAATATATGATTTAAGGTTTAGGAGTGTTTCTTTTACATATGAGGGTGCCCTTGTATTTGCAGCATAGATGTTCAGTATTGAGATTTCCTCTTGATAGATTTTTCCTGTGACTAATATGAAATGTCCTTCTTTTCTCTGATTTTAGTTTGAAGTCTATTTTGTTCGATATTAGGATTGCTACACCTGCTTTTTTTCTTAGGTCCATTTGATTGGAATATTTTTTCTCAACCCTTTACTCTGAGACAATGTCTGTCTTTGAGGTTGAGATGTGTTTCTTGTATGCAGAAGGATGGATTTTGTTTTCTTAACTAATCTGTTAGCCTGTGCCTTTGTATAGGTGAGTTGAGCCCATTTATATTACGGGATATTAATGACCAGTGATTGCTATCTCCTGTTAATTTAGTTTTCATTATTGATGATGTGAATTTGTGCGTTTTCCCCTTCTTTGTAATTTGCTGCTATGAGACCATCAATTGTCTGTGTTTTTGTTAATGTAGTAGCCAAGTGCCTTGGGTTGGAGTTTTCCTTGTAGTATTTTGTGTAGGGCTGGGTTTGTGGCTAGGTTAAATCTGGTTTTGTCATGGTTTTGTCATGGAATACCTTGTTTTGTTCTTCTATGGTGATTGAAAGTTTTGCTGGGTATAGTAGTCTGGGCTGGTACCCATGGTCTCTTAATATCTGCATAACGCTTGACCATGACCTTCTGGCTTTCATTGTCTCCAGTGAGAAGTCAGGTGTAATTCTGATAGGTCTACCTTCATATTTTGCTTGGCCTTTTTCCTTTGCAGCTCTTAATATTCTTTCTTTATTCTGTATGTTTCTTCTTATTTTTTAGGTCATTTTCTTCTGCTTCATCTATATTTGGTAGTTCAAGTCTTGCTTTTGTAGGGTCTTTAGGTTTTACTAGTGTCGTGTTGTTCTTTGTGGTGTTGCATGTGTTCTTACCTTTTCTACTCATCTTTTCCTCTAATAGGTGTGGTTGGAGCTGTCTGGGATTCTGTTGATTAATCTTCTAGGTTCCAGTGAATCCAAGGCTCAGATTGTTGTTCCTCATGGTACAGTCAGTGCCACAGTTCTAGTTACCCCTTTGGTCACTCCATGTTCCTGGAGGTTGCTCAGAGTTCCCGGGCATTGCTCCACTCCCTTGGAGTTTGCTATTTCAGGCCTCCTCTAGCCTAGGTTGTTGGCTCAGACCTGTTTCTGTAAATGTCCCTGGCTTAGGGTTGGTCCTATAAAGGACTCTGGCTCCAGTCTACTCCCTTAGAGTTTCCAGTCTCGGGCCCACCCAGAGCCACAGAGGACCTGGCTCAGGCTTACTCCCTTAGAGGTCCCAGACTCACACTTGGACCCACAGAGGTTTCTGGTTCCTGCCTATTCCCTTTGATGTCCCAGACCAACGCCCAGACCCACATAGGTCCTAGCTCAGGCCTATTCTCTCTGAGGTCCCAGACTTACTTGTTTTCAAATTTCATATATATTCCCCCCTCCTCCCTTCAACATCTCTCAAGTCCTCCTACTTTCAGATTTATGGCCTCCTTTAATTTTTGTTACATATGTATAAACATATACATACAAGCTGCCGAGTCCATTTATTGCTTGTATGTATATGTTTTTAGGGCCAACAAATTGATATCCAATTGGGGTTCCACCCTGGGGAAGACTAATTCTCTCTCTCTCAGCAGTTATTAATTGGCTGTAGTTCTTCATCTATGCCTTGTGAGTCCTTCTGTCCTTGTTTGTGTGTCGACTGGTGTTGTTATTGTTCAGGTTTTGTTTAAGTAGTCATGCTGTTGAGACATGAGTGTAGTTTCCCTGCCATATAATCTTAAAGCAGACCCCCTAGTCATCTAGCTCTTAGAACCTTTTCTCCCTCTTTTTCTTGATGTTCCCAGAGCTGTGGGTGCAGGGGTTGTGTTGGATTATCAGTTGGGGCTTTGTATCTTACAGTCAGTTGTTCTCTGTATCTTATTCAACTGTGGCTTTCTGTAATGGATTCTGTCTTCTGCACAAAGAAGCTTCATTGATGAGGGTTAAAAAGTGCACTCATCCATGGGTGTAAGGGTGAGTATTAAGAATGCAGTCGAGATTCTCCTTCTTTGGAAAGGTAGCAGTAGTTCTCTAGGTTCCATGGCCTCACCAGCCATCAGTAGTTGACTAGGTTTTCTAGACCAGAAATGAATTCCATGCTTCTGAGCAGGGCTTACCCCAAGATAAAAGTATTCTTGAACCTTGGGAGATATCCTGCTATGCTTGCCACTGTGACTTATGAGCCTCACAGCTGAGTACGACCCTTAGTTGCTTTTCTCCCTTAGCAGCTTGACTTGCAGAGGAAGCTTGATTACTCCATGTCTTGTGTCAGAGAGTATAGGAACACTACATTAAATGTGATCTGATAATACAGCTAGTGGGAAAGTTGGAATAAATGCAATGCCTTTATCCTTTTCTGATGTCATAGAGTGAAGACCTCTAGTCAGTGCAAGTTGTAAAAATTAAGACTGAATAATTAGACTCACTGTGAATTTTGAACTATTAGGAGGTTTTGTTTTTTAAAGATTTTATTTACTTTTATATGTATGAGTATTTTGTCTGCACGTATGTAAGTACACTGCATGCATGCCTGTGGAGTGTAGACGGAAGTTTCTGTCCCGCTGGGTCCCGCAGCCTTTCAGTCCCAAAGAAACACACAGAGGCTTATATTAATTACAAACTGTTTGGCCTATTAGCACAGGCTTATTATAAACTAGCTATTACAACTTAAATTAACCCATAATTCTTGTCTGTGTTTAGCCACCTGGCTTGGTATCTTTAATCAGTGAAGCATCCTCATCTTGTTTCCTCTGCATCTGGCTGGTAACAACATCTCTGTCTTTCCTCTTTCCAGAATTTTAGTCTGGTTACCCCATCTGTACTTCTTACCTAGCTACTGGACAATTAGCATTTATTAAACCAATATGAGTGACAAATTTTTATAGAGTACAAAAATATTATCCCATAGCTATGGAGGCCAGAAGGAGGGCACTGGATCCCCTGGAACTGTAGTTAAGGACTGTTGTAAGACACCATTTAGGTGCTGGGAACTGAACCTTGATCCTCTAGAGCCTTCATCCTCCAGCCCTGGTCAGTTTTCTTGAGACAGGCATAAACTAGTTAGCATGGTATGAATATTGTTTCCTATCCTCCTCCTTCCCCACCCCCAGTTCTTCTCAGCCTACGTAGTGCTCAGATCTGCTCTCTTTTTTCCATCCCTCTGCCACTCTTCAAGGATGGCTATTGTTACATTTCACTTGAATTCTTGCTTCTAGTCTTATCTTTTCATCCTATAATCAGAATGACTCTAAAGCTACTGTCTTACTTAAAATCACATAATGCCTTATTGTTATCTCTACAATAAAGTCCCAAAAATATTTTTGTGACCTGCAATGCCTTTGTGGTTGGAATTACATTAGGCATATAGATGGATTAGGAGACAGCCTAACTATGTATCCCTGGCTGTCCTGAAACTCATTCTGTAAACTCAACACCTGCTTCTGCCTTCCAAGTGCTGAGATTAAAGGTGTGTGCCTTTATGCCCAGCTTGCTTTGTACTCTTGAGTATAGAAGTCCTCAACATCTTTTATTATACTTATTCCTGTTATTTTTGCAAAATTCAGCAATATTTTCCAGTAGATTGGGCTGTAAACATAAAGAACTCTACCCATTACAAACAGGAACCATTTGGTTTCTTTCCCTCTCACCTTACTCCTTCTCCGTTACTTCTACTTCCCTTTCCCTGTCCCTTTTTACCTCTCCTCAGTGGTTAGGGCTCCCAGTGCAGTGTTGAGTAGAAGCGATAATAGGTAACTTCTTCTACATTAAGTATAATTTAAGGTAGTCATTCTTCTACGCTAAATGTAAATATTAGCTATAGATGTTCATAGACGTGCTTTGTCCATTTGGGGAATTTGCCAAATATTATTAGTTTGTTTAAAGGATTAATTCCCCCCGCCCCGCGTCTATTGAAGTGGTCTTTTAGATTTTCTCCCATCAACTGTTAATACCTTGAATTATGTTTATCTATCTGTCTGTTATGTATCTATCTGTCTGTCTGTCTTGTTTCTCACTCCTGGGGTATGTTTGCATGGTAACAATGTGTTAACATATATTTACATTATTGGATTCCCTTTGATAATTCTTTGTCAAGAATTTTTGCATTAGCATTTGGAGGTAGTGTTGATTTATAATTTTATTACAGTAACTTCATCAGATTGTAGGTTAGGCTGGCCTCAAACTCATAGCCTCCATTTCAGGAATTTGGAATGACTCTGATGTGGCAAGAACCCCAGGCTGCCTGTTCCGGCTGCTTTACCCACTGCCTGCTTCCACAGCATATTTCCTTCTAGCCTGTTCTTCCTTTTCTTCGAAGACTTTCTTCCTTGGGTCGCTAAGTTTAGTGCCTCATTCTCTTCTTGGTTCTCACTTGTCTTGTTTTCTAGTGTCCAGCAGATTGACTTTCCGACTCTGAGATTCGTCTTACAATGGATCCAAACTTTGTTTTAATGAAGTTTACTAGATTGTAACATTGGAAGAGCAGTCCTCTTAGTTAGTGAAGGGCTGAGCAAATAAACCTCCTGTTACTGCAGAAGGAAAATGCACCATGAAGAAATGCCTCCAACTGCTGCCCAGTTCTCTCTCTTCATTGTTTCTTTTCTTCTCTGCAGGAATTTTAACAATAAAGAAAACTAACAAGTCTTTCTTCCAATTCCATACTGTGTGTACAATCAGCTGTTTTCATCTTTCCAATTCCTGTTCTTATGCAGTAGTGGTATCTACATGTAGTTTAGATTTTTATTTCTTTTTTATTCCAAGTGATTATGGCTGGAAAGAATTAGTTATGTGGGAATGTCTTAGGTAATAACAGCTTCTCATTCTGATTATTTCCCTTTAGGAAGGACACTGCTGATCCTGTAACATGGAGGATTGTCTTCATACCTCATCTGAGAATCTGTCCAAGTTGGTCAGCTGGGCCCACAGCCATGGGACCATTTGCAGCCTCATTCCAAACCTGAAACACTTGCTTTCTGAAGGTTCCCATGGGAACCTGACTGCAATGTGGGGCTGTAGTGCTGGCCATGCTTACCACTGGCCACTAACAGCTACTTGCAGAGCTGGGTCCCAAGAGAGGGTCTGTTTCCAGGACAACCGAAGTTTTAATTCTGATAGTCCCAGTATAATTGGGGTGCCTTCTGAGACACAGACTAGCCCTGTGGAAAGATACCCTGGGAGACCCGTGAAGGCAAAGCTGGACTGTAGCCGAACCAGAGACTCTTGTGACTTCTCTTACTGCAGTGAGCCCTCTGAACTGGACGAAGCTGTTGAGGAGTATGAAGATGAAAACACACTGTTTGACATGGTTTGTGAGTCTTCTGTTACAGATGAAGACAGTGACTGTGAACCCCAAACCCAGAGGCCTCAAAGTATTGCTCGTAAAAGGCCAGGAATAGTCCCATCTTCCATCCATTCAAGTTCCCAGGGACAGATGGTTGATGAGTGCAGTGGTGATGTCATCATCAAGAAAATCAAGCAAGAGATTCCTGAAGATTATTACATTGTAGCAAATGCAGAGCTGACTGGAGGGGTAGATGGACCAGCCCTTTCCTTGACACAGATGGCAAAGCCCAAGCCTCAAACTCATGCTGGTCCCTCCTGTGTAGGGTCTGCTAAACTGATTCCCCATGTAACATCTGCCATCAGTGCAGAGCTAGACCCACAGATAATGTCAGCTTCCCCCTCTGTGATCTCCAGACCAATCATCCCAAAGACTGCTAGGGTATCTCTGGCTTCACCAAACAGAGGACCCGCTGGTGCCCATGGCACTGCCCACCAGGTGACCATGCAGATGCCTGTGAGCACGTCACATCCTAACAAACAGATCAGTATCCCTTTGTCTGCCCTTCAACTGCCTGGACAGGATGAACAGGTGGCTTCAGAGGAATTCCTGCCCCATTTGCCTAGCCAGGTCTCATCGTGTGAGGTGGCCCTCTCTCCCTCAGTGAACACAGAACCTGAAGTAAGCTCCAGTCAACAGCAGCCTCCTGTCGCTCCAACCATAACCACGGAAGCCACTGCACAGTGCATTCCAGGTATGGAACACGAGGTGACCATAAATCCCTCATCCACATACTTTAGAGAATTCTGCGCCATCAGCACTTCTAAGACCATTGGTTTAGTTTGCTAGGATGCAGTCGTTTTTCACTGTCAGGAAGACAGAAATAATTAAATGTGTTACATGTAATGAATACTGTGGAGGAACTCTATCTGAAGAAGGCTAGCCATTTGGTAGTACACCTTAGGGCTAAGATGGCAACTGGAAGATTGTGCTTTTGATGGCTAGATTTAAGGTTCATATCCAACCTTAGCTGAGCTTTTATAGTAAATCTATTTTTGAAAAAAATTTCTTTTTCCTATTGGTATCAAGGTAGTTAAGCCAACTGATATTGGCTTACTTTTTATTTGATCCAGTTTCCTATTACCATTCATTTTAGTTAGTGTGATAATTTAAACTGATTTTATAAAAGAAACAGGTAACTTCTTAAACAAGTATTTGATCTCATCTTTCAAAACTTAACAGAATCAGATAACATACATTTCTGGAGTAGGCCAGCTTAACTCGGTACATTCACATTGAGAGGTTTGTAGAGCTTTTCATAGCTGCTACCTCTGCACTTCTAACATTCTAGTGCTCTTTAATTCAAATATCCATTATTTATTTGAGCCAGGATATTGTGATATATAGGGGGTTTGATGTGCATTCTTTGGACGTCTATAATTCAAATCTAAGAGGACATAAGTAGGTGTATGGACAAGGGTAAATAGATACACAGAGAATAAAGAAAGCAGAACACTTCGGCAAATTTAGTCCCTTCTCAACAGGGCATGCATTTGGGGAAACATCCTTTTTTTATTTTAAAGATTTTTAGTTATTTATTTTATGTATATGAGTACTCTATCTACATGTAATGCCAGAAGAAGGCTTCGGATCCCACTGTAGATGGCGTTGGAATTGAATTCAGAACGCCTGGAAGAGCAGCCAGTGCTCATAAACACTGAGCCATCTCTCCAGATCTCAGGGAAACACCCTTAAACACTGAGCTACCTGTGTCTTTGGCCTGAAACTCCCTAGAATTAAGTTGCTTTTACAAGTGCTCATTTATAGTTATAGTATTAGCCCCAAGGTCTCCTAAAGGAACTTACCAGGAAGATGTTTCTACCATAACCCTGCTGTCAGTAATGACAGATACTGAAAATGATCAATTGCTTTAAAAATTATGCTAGTTGAAAAGTCATGGGCTTTTAATGTGGTTGTTTTTTAACAGTTTCATTGAAATGTAATTCATACCATAAAAGACACTTTAAAACTTTATTCTATGAGTGTTTGTGTCCATGTATATGTGTATCACATATTTGACTAGTGCCCAAGGATTGTGAATCATCAAGTGTCCTTTGCAAGAGCAACAACTACTCTTAACTGCTAGCACTCCTTTGAAGTGCTGCTCAGTCCCAGAAGAAGCAGTTTCTCTTTTCTTCTCCCAGTTCATGGCAACCGCTTATCTACTTTTGTGAATTTACTTTATAACCTCTTGTGACTACTTTGATTTAGTGTGGTATTTTCAGGGTCAATCCATATTAGAGCATTTTTTATTGCCAATAATATTTTACTATAAATATATCATGCTTTATTTTTCTTCAGTTGATGGACAGACATGTGAGCTGTTTCCACCTTTGGTCTGTTTGCTACTATGAACATTTATATACAAGTTATTAACGTGAGCATTTTCTTTGATTTTTGTGTGGGCAGCTACTTTAGGATGAGAAGCCACGAATCCATTTTCTAAAGCCATTTGGTTTTAACTCTTGGCACTAATGGACGAAGGTTCCTATTTCTCTGTATGTCACCAACACATTATTTTCTATGTTTTAGAAATTTCTCCTTTACTCTCAATACACAGGAGGCAGAGGTAGGCAAATCTTTGTGAGTCCGAAGCTAATTTGGTCTACATAGCAAGTTCTAAGACTCTGACTTAAAACAAAAAGTTACTATGCTTTTACATGTAAAAAGTAGTATTACAATCTAGCCTGTATTATTTTAATAACTATGATATTGATCATTTTTCATGTTCTTATTGGTCATATATGTATATCTTTTGAAAATTTTCAGATTCTTTGCTTATCTTAAAAATAGATTCTCTTGTCTACTTTGAGTTGTAAGAGTTCTCTGTATTCTGGATGAGAGTCCCTTAATGATTTGTAAGTATTTTTTCCTATTCTGTAGGCTTATGCTCAGTCATTCATTCATTCTCCCTCCCTCTCTTCCTCTCTTGTTCCACCCTTCTCAGAGGAAGGCCTTGAACTTTTTTCCTCTACATCCTAGTGCTAGAATTATAGGCATTACCATGTCCAATTATGCTTTCTTTTTTTAAAAGAACTTTATACTTTAATTGTTATATAATCCTGTGGACTTAGACTGGGATAATCTTTACATTGCTGGACACATGTCTGTCAGGCAGAAAACATCTTTGTACTAGGAAATCAAACTTTTAATATATGGAGGGTATACATAGTACTTTTCACTTAAATGGTTGTCTTTTTTTTTTAGACAGCCTGGAAGAGTTTTCCATGTTATCAATTTATATTTAATGAAACAATTCAGAAATATATTTTGCAGAGTCATTTAGCATGTTCATAACTTACTAAGATTTCTGCTTTGATCCACAGTAACTCTAACCCTGTGAAACAAGTTGTAGGACCCGACTATAAACCATATTTGAATGTTACTGTATAATTATTTGGAAAAGAAATTTAACTTTTTTGAAATACAAGCAGTTTTAATTCTTTCATTAGTGTATGTATTACATTAGGGGTTTTTCTTCCTTTATTGAAATTGCACTTCTTATGTCAGCTATAAACGTCAGGCTTGACCAAGGATTGCATGTACTGTATCCAGCCATGAACTGGTCTTATTTTACTCTTATAAGGAGAATTAGTTTGGCCCAGTGCAGAACGCTCAAGAAAAGCACTCTGAAGAACCAGTAATAACAGATTTCCGAGATGTGGTTCTCATGTTGTGGAAAGATACAAAATTTTCAACATGCTACTGACTTCAGAGAAACTCTATTTAGACTGGAAACAACAGCAAGATTAATAAAAACCCAATCGACACTTCTGTGAGAGTTACAAAAACTTAACATAATTCACCTTTACTTCCTGAAGTCCAACCTAGGTTCTATATTCTAAATTTTAAAGTTTAATTTATTTACTTGTGTTTCTATGTTTATTTATAGTTGATGGTCTCACATAATCTAATATATACAAATGCATGTGATTGATTACAGTATAAGGGGACCCTACACAATTAATGTATAAAGCATGATTAGGACTAAAGAGGAAAGCTGTGGGAAAAATAGTCAAAATTTAGAACAGGCACTCGAACACCATAGAATTCTGAGTCTTTCTCAGATCATCGCAGTAATACTACATGGCTTTATAGATTCTATTTTAATAATAAGTTGATAAGTGACTCATTGAGTCAGCCTGAAACAAAGAGAAGTTGTTCTGGTTTTAGTGGTACCATGCAGTCATTTGAGCACATTAAAAATAAACTCGGAGTCACCTCAGGTACATCAGTGTCATATTAAGGAAAGAAATCACAGCACTTCCTATTAGTCTCATTTAGCCAGGAGTGGGCCCACATCTGACGGCTCTAACTTCACTCTCCATGTCCTCTTTGTGAGACAGAACCTGCACTGCCTGGAGGCAGTCCTGTGGGTTTGTTCCTGTGTCTCTCCTATTAACGTACTTTGCTCTTTTATTGAACAGCACATAAAGCATCACATTGGGAAGGAATGAGTATACTTTAAAGAAATCTTTAATGGATTTTTATGTGGGATTATGCCACTGACCCCCAGATGATCCAGATAACAAATAGAATTACAAACAGTATTGTTTATCAAGCAATATCTGCATGCTGCAATCAACATTTATAGTGATATTCAGTTTTTTCATTTTTTAATTTACATATCAACCACAGGCTCACTTCCCGTTCTCTCTCCCCACCTCCTCCTTACTCTCCCCCATCCACTCCTCCTCCTTCTCCACTTATGGGCTAAGGCTTCTCATGGAAATCAACAAAGCATGGCAGACACATCAAGCTGAGGCAGGACCAAGCTCCTCCTCTCCGTTTCCAGGGTGAACAAGGTGTCCACCATAGGAAATAGGTTCCAAAGAGCCAGCTCATATATCAGGAGCAGGCCCTGGTCCCACTGCTAAGGGTCTCCCAAAAAACCAAGCTACACAACTGTCACCCAGCTGCAGAGGGCTTAGGTTGTTCCCATGCTGCCTCCCTAGCTGTTTGTCCAGAGTCTGTGAGGTTCCACAAGCTCAGGTCAGCTGTCTCTGCCACTTTTCTCATCTTGTTCTTGATCCCTCTGCCCTCTCTTCAACTGGACTTCCAGAACTCAGCTCAATACTTGACTGTGGATCTCTGCCCTCTCTTTTCAACAGGTACTGGATGAAGGCTCTATGATGGCAACTAGGGTAGTCACCAATCTGATTACAGGGGAGGGCCAATTCAGGCACCCTCTCCACTATTGCTAGAGGAATCTTAGCTGGGTTCATCCTTGTGAGTTCCTAGGAGCCTCCCTGGCACCAAGTTTCTCCTTAGCCCCACAATGGTCCCCTCTATCAAGATATCTCCCCCAGTGGATATTCATTTTATAAGATTACTTTCAACCTCTGGTTTTGCATTTTCCAGCAAATGATCGTTAGAATTCCCAGATGATACTCTAGGAGACAGGCATGGTGCTTGCCTTTAATCCCAGCACTCCAGAGACAAGAAGACCTCTGTGAGCCGGGCGGTGGTGGCGCATGCCTTTAATCCCAGCACTCGGGAGGCAGAGGTAGGCGGATCTCTGTGAGTTCGAGGCCAGCCTGGTCTACGAGAGCTAGTACCAGGACAGGAACCAAAAGCTACAGAGAAACCCTGTCTCGAAAATCAAAAAAAAAAAAAAAAAAAAAAAGAAGACCTCTGTGAGTTTAAGTCTATCCTGGTTTATATAGTGATTTTCAGGAGAGCCAGAGGTATGTA